ACAGAGAGCTCCAAAATAGTTTCACGCTCGGTGGCAAGCGATATCGTATTTTCTGAATACCAGTAATCCATATAAAGAACAAATTAATCTTTGAAGTGATTATACTCTGGTCTGTCATAAAGAATTTTTTTATACACTAAAGCATCAGACAACAGTTAAGTTCCATTGGTACTGCATGATTCTCCACACGTCTAAGGAAGAAACTAGTTTGGAAAAAGGATGTACTTGCTCATATCATGCTAATGTTTGACGAACTATGGTTTATAGCACTGTATACAATAGATTAATTTCGTTAAATATTGGTCTACTTTCAGGAAGGAAGACATTGCCTTATTCTATGGATGAGGGATAAATTTATTTTGACAATCTAAAGCCATTATGTATCATAGTTACCGAGATCTATCCTCAGATCTGACCGCATGCAAACAAAGCCCAGGGCGGACGAGCCTGAGAACTACAGCTAGAGTCTTTCTCAAAGAGATACACCACAGTCCAGCTAAGGTCCACTTCATACGAAAAACTTGCTCATTGTCGTGATGCAAGCGACAATGTAGAAAAATTCACCATCAGCTGGGAATTTATTCAATCCACGAGGTGGTTCGATATAGTTAAGTTAAGGATATGATTGCATCAGATTCTGATCACATACTGTATAAAAGCTGTTCGTTCATATTTACCATGACAGTATAGGATGCATGACATCATAGGGAAGTACTTGTCTGAAACTGCTAACTTACTCACAAAGCTAGCCAAGGAATTTAGGGAGCATGTTATGGGTTATGATGTCATGTACCCTAGGTTTGCTTCGGCAAGGAATATCAATAACTGAAACCATCATATTCTGTCATGTTTTGTAAAGCTATCACTGTTGCGGTAGTTAAGAATTAGAGTTCAAATTTTCAAGATATGCGAAACGGTTCAAAATAGTGAGCGACTGAACCTCAGTTCAAATTTCAAGACATGCGAAAAGGTTCAAAGTAGTGAGCGACTGAAACTGAAGTGCTTTGGACTTCATGGAGGTCACTGTAAGCGAGAAAAAGAATGAAAGATTGTGAGAACCAGGCTAATTTTTTATAACAGTAATGAGCCAAACAAAAAGGAACTGATCGAACAATCGAAACTGAGACTAATAGTGAGGAATAAAAAATTCGGTACACGCACAAAAGTGTACGGTACCAGACTTTGCTCCCACGTTTTCCTACTCATTAGACCCAGCGGATTGAGTGTAAATAGAGGCAAGAAGTAAAAGCTCACCAATAATGAAGTGAACTTGCATGTTGCAAGACGGATGTTCCCCACCCACAGCACGAGCAGAAGAGAAGAAGTTGCCTGGCAGTTTTTAACTCCAGATATACAGTGAAATCAGCCACCAGTTGCCTTTGTCGCGAAAGAGAAGACATCGGAATAAGTTCAAGTTCACATTATCCTGATTCTATTGAATGAAATGATAACGACTCAGATTCCGTAGTATCCAAGACGAGAGGCTAGGAAGCTAATATGCTGGCTGGTTGTCACCTGATTGTTAACACCTATAACTTGTACTACAGAAATAATCGATCAGAAATAATCGATCAGTTCCATTCCAAACTTAGACATTCCAAAATGTGAGGATACAATGATTTTTTTTATTTTTTTTTGGACAAATGCCATTTGAGAACAGTCTTTTGACAAATATAATCACCATCTCTATGTTGGAAGGATATCAGGTCGGTAGTAGAGACTTAGATGGAATTCCGAAATCCCGTTTGTATATTTGTGGAGGTAAGGAATCAACGGTGTAAGGTAAGTTGCCCATCAAGGTCTACCAGAAACTTAGATTATATCGAAGTTGAGATGCAGGAAGGACTCATGAGTATCGGCCTTTCATGATTTCAAGATCGATCACGCCGTGAGCTCATATTTCCGGATACATTGGCGCAGCCATTTCGAAAATAGACATTCTTCTGCAAGAATTTCGCCAATCTGGACACGTACATGATGGAGATAGTGATGCTACAGTCTGGACATGTCGGTGAGAGAGTGATTTTAAGGTTGATGCTCGGTGCTATAGCAACAGCTATTGATGGCCAGGTTCGTGAAACAATGGTAAACTACACTCCCTTCAAAGTGGTTAAACTTTTCAGGACCCGATAGCTAATGCAAATGTGTATTCTTCTTCAGTCAGTTCTCCGAATTCGAAACTTCGGTATCAACTGCGTGGACGAATAGTACTCAGTTGAGACGAAGATTCTCATGTTTCGGTGCGCCATGACTTTGAGCTTTGGATGTTGGTCCAGGTGAATATCCTTCATATTTAGTACTATATTGATGTAGTAAATGATAAAGTTAAAATTGTTGGGAGTTGGGCACCTGATTGCGACGCGAATCAATGGTTAGGAAGTAGTTTTCTTAAGGGAGTAGATCATCACAACTCGTGCTCAAGATATAAAATATATACTGTAATAACTTCACACACGAGTGACGTTTATTCTAGAGAATGTGATTGCTTTGGTTTGTGGACCTGTTCATGATGTGATGTTTTGCTGATCGTAGCCAGCTTCAATATTCTTTAGTCATGATGCTAGCTAGCATAGCAAGCTACGTATCAGAGGCATTCATAAGAAGTATTTTATATTCCCAGTACATAACTCTACCGGAAGAGGACTGATAAGCTTACCGATAAGCATTGTCTACTCCGTCCAAGGGCTGGATTCTTTGTAAATACTGAAGCTCTGCAGTATTGGAGAATTACATTTGCAACCCTATCCATGCTAGTAGTTTCATTGGGCAGTTAAAGTCATTGCCGTGGAACGTTTTCAGGCTGAAAGTTCATTTGTATTATCGCCCATAGGAATAGGACCACCAAGATTACCCCATGGCAAGAATAGGATTCGTTATGACTGCCTGTTGTGGACGAATGACGCAGTTGTCAGTTCCATAGCCTAACAAATATCACAGAGGGCTTAACGAAACTTACAGACATGCGTGGCATCCTCCCCATTTTCCTGATATTGAAATCCACTATGTCGCTCCTTTAAAACTTCTTCCTTGAGCTCATCATTATTAATATAATTTTGATATCGAGATGGACCTCATCGAGGAATCCAAAGCTGCGTGAGCCACCAATGATCTCAACGATATTCCTTTGATCACCATATTCAAACGTATACTCAAAATCTATTCACTCCCTTCATTCGAAGCGTCTTGAGACAATCTTGGGTTGAATATCTGCGGAATTTCATCGTGCATAGGCTTGATTTATTAGTCCCAGATTTACGTGAACGTTCACTTCCATGCAGGCAGCTTAAATATGTCAACACATATTGATTTTGTACATGTCCTTTATCTCGGTTTCCATCTCTGTAACATACTGTGACGACTAAACTGCATCATACAAGTAGATGGATCCATTTTTCACATCTTGTCCCTGAAAGTAAACTAAGCATGATTGAGGTTTGGTTGTTTGAGATGAATGTATACGTTGCAATAACACGAACGTGGACATTTAAATCAACTGAATAGTGAATGCAGTGGTTAGTCAAGGTCAAAACAATTATCTGAGCCAACCACCTCATGATCTATAATATATCTTGACTATTTTGGATTTAGTGGCTAAAGGAGATGTGTGCCCAGAGACAAAAAGTAGGAATGGTGGAAGAGAAAGCAGCAGTTGTAGCAGAGGGATGTAAACATGTCATGAAAGACATATTTCAAATGTCAACAAAGCTTGTGTATCAACAGTTAATAAGTGCGATGAAGAGTCAATTGAGGCAACTTGGTTTGAGCTACATGTTGAGCGTCTGACGTTTAAACTGACGTAAGAAATGTGCATTCGTCAAACTTCATGGTGCTAGTTCATGGTTACAGTTCTTTTCAGTTCCAAAATACAACTTCTATTTTCCCTCACTTGAAAATCATATCCCACAAATGCACATTGTAGATAGCGAGATGAGACTTTACCTCTGGCAAATTTACGGACGTGTGTGTACACAAAAATGACGAATTAACACTTGGAGATGAGAGACATGAAATATTTTACTCATTAATTTTTCTCCAAAGACTTTCTTTGAAACACGGGTCGAAATGAGATTCAGTAGATAACTTGCTAAATCAATGTGAGAAAGTTTCTACTCAATGGCATGCATGTTGGATACTTGATGATAATCAAGTATAGCCAACAGTTGTGGCTAGAAATCCAGCAACCATACGTCCGTTAAATGTAAATTTACTTTCCATAACTATCAAAGTCCTCTTGCAGCACAAAAGGACCAATAGCTCTCAAGCTAGCGGAGAAATAGAAAGTTCGCTAGATGCAAAAATGTTAACAGGGCGAGAATCATGGCACTGTGCTAGTCGTGATAACGTTGGTATTGGCTGCAGTATCGTAGAGGTACGCTGTGAAGCATCAAGCACGAGAATTTGCTCTTCTGGTATTAATAGCTTTCTGAAGTTCTTCCCCAGCTTTGGCAGTCGGTAGAATCTTTGACTATATGTCACTTTTCCCAAACGAAAAAGGGACGGAGACCCTAAAACAAAGAGTCACCATATGCACAGTCCTGTTGCAAATAATCCGTTTTTAGACAAATCCCGACGAAAAGCAAACTGTGTGGGATATGAAGATCAGAGGATGGGGCAGAACATGAACAGCATGACCTGAGCAACAACGGTTACAATATGGAAATATAGCTTATGGGCGTCATCGTTATTGGAACCGCAGACAAGATTGAATATGTATGTGGGAGAAACACGACCTAGCTCCTTTCGACCTGGATAAATATGCAGTAGAAACAAGAACGAGCTCCTTTCGAGGTGAAGAAGTGAACAACGTAAGATGAATCTTAAGACGAATGGTAGGTTAAACATAGATCAGCAAGCCCACTCTCCACATCCCAGCAGCTGTTCACTGCAAGCTTGCGATTAAATTGGTGCAAAACTTAGATGATTCCAATTTCATATGCTTGGAACTGAAGCCAGTACCTACTGAAAAAATCTGATGATGAAAACATGTGAAAGCTATTCATATATTACTTATATATTTTGGTTCCTATCCTCGTCACATTTCCCGTGACCTTCCTCCCATTTCAGGTAAGTAACTAATGCAGAATCAGGAATTTGTGTACAATTGATATTTTATCCACGTCTGATTCTAAAAGACAAGTGAATGCTATAATATGTAAGGCACCTTACAATCCAAACTCAATCATGTCTTGGGGGAGCTATGATTTGTACGTTGCGTCCGCATAATCTATGCTATCTGAATAATCTACACCGGAGGTGCTGTAAGATCTGGATCCCAAGATGCTGGTTGTGTTCGATGAGAACATAGATATCTGGCCTTGCGGTTCTAGCCCCGGTATGTTCAGTGGTGTCTCAGCTGTTGGAGTGAACCTGTGCATGCGAGTCGTGTATGCATCGGGGCTGTACTCTGGTATGCGTTTGGATCTCGGAATGGATGGCATTTCCCGGGTGCCAGACAGAATCTCGATCACTTTATGCATTGTTGGACGCTCGCCAGCGTCTGGATGGGAACACAGAAGACCCAAATGGAGAACGAGTTCCACTTGCTGCAAATCACATTTGCCCACCAGTCTGTTATCCACGCAACTAAGAAGCTCATCAGCTGCCATCTTGCTCCAAACCCAGTTGACCAGGAAATCACCAGGATGCCTCTCGTCGAAAGCTTTTCTCCCACACGCAATTTCCACAGCTACAGCTCCGAATGCAAACACATCCGTCTTAGGTGTGAATCTTCCTGTCATGGCCGCCTCTGGGGCAATGTAACCGTAAGTTCCAACCACGGCAGTGATGGCAGCAGGCATCTGACGATGGGCCACCATGCGAGCCAGCCCGAAGTCTCCCAACATGGCGTTGAAATCGTCGTCGAGCATGACATTGCTCGACTTCACATCTCGATGGAGCACCTGCTTTTTCCACCCTTCGTGTAGATAATCCAGGGAAGCAGCAAGTCCTTGCAAAATGTTGAACCTCATTGCCCATGAAAGTAAGCGCGGATTTTGTGTAAAAAGGGCATCGTGCAGACTTCCATTGGGGAGGAACTCGTAGACGAGAAGAAAGTTTTCTGGCCCTTGTATGCAGCACCCGAGCAGCCGGACGATGTTCCGATGCCGAAGCTGGCTGATGATTCTCACCTCAGCTTGAAACTCCCTCGCCCCCTGCTTCGAATGACTGCTCACTTTCTTCACGGCCACCAACTGTTTCGAGCCAGGCAATTGGCCCCGATACACTCTTCCAAACCCACCCTCTCCGAGAATCAGAGCATCATCGAAATTCTTCGTGGCCAATTCTAACTCCTTGAACGTGAAAATTTGTAAGGATTCAGAAAATCCAGACATCGGTGACTCCTCTGTTCCTGATGGGCTGGCTGCAGAAGCTTTCTGAACTCTGAGTCTGTTCCTTCGTCGAGCCCATACGCACCAAGAGATGAAACCCGTCGCAGATATTATGGCTACACTTCCAAACGCGATTCCTCCGATGACAACCAAGGAGAGTGGCGCACGGCTGGTGGTCATAGCAGTTGTATTCTGTCGCCGGATGAGGGGTTCTGGACCTGGAACCGGAGGAGTTACGAGCAGTGGTGGGGAAGGCACATCAGGTCCAGGGAACCAGCTACTGAAATTCAGATCGTATATTGTATAGTGGCTGTAACAATCGCAATATCCATTTGAGCCGGAGAAACCCACCCACACTTCCTCATTGCTAAAAAACGTCAGAAAATTGAAAGAGTGGCTCAACAATGGGTTTGCAGGTTTCTTAGACGATTTATCTAGTCTCACCTCTAGAAGTTCTAGACTAGAATCGTAGTCGACCCACCCGTAAACCCGCACCCTCGCCGCCATCGGACTCGCAAGATCGAAAGGAGCACTGATGAACTTGGTGGACCTGGCTCCGTTTAGATCTACTCCAACATGGTTATCGTTGATGTCATCGAGGTCTAAGTTCTGATAGGTATCAAATTCCACCGCAAAGGTTTCCACCACATTACTTCCGTAAGGATCGAATATACCCAGGGAGCTTCCAGCACTTCCGACCATTCCTTTATCTGAAAACATGATGAACGCCATGCCGTCGCCTGCTCCCTTTGGACCTTGCTCCATCTGGAAACTGAAACTTGCATTGAACGAGACGACCTCTTGCGAAGATGAATTCAGCAGTTGGATCGGCTGCTCGTAGAGAGCCACCCCAAATGTGGAAAAGTAGTTTTGGTAGCTTTCATTCCGCACCTGCCCACCATCAGGTATGAGTATCAGATGTCCTTTTGCATTAGTCGTAGCGTTTCCCGAGCACAAGAAATTCCCCGTACTTCTAGTCTTCTTACACCTGCATGCGCCCTCTTGGATGCTGAATGAAGCGAGAGCGTGATCTTGAGACTGTGTACCTTCAAGAGTTCCTAGCACGACGAGAAAGAGGAGCAAGAAAAAAGCCGGCCTGATCATGTTCCAACCTCAAAGCTTTGGTAACAAACACTTTTTATTTATCTTGGCGTAGCTGGGCTATCCTGGACTTGAAAATTTCACGACTTCCCGACTGTAAGTATGGAGATTCCGAGGGCCTCAACAACTGGCACGAATGGTATCTGGCTATGCGCAGTTCAACAACGAGGACCACGATGAACGTGATATTGTGCAAAACTTCATTCTTCAAGTTAGAAATACAATTCTAGTCGTTCAACCTCTTTCTTCAAGTTTCTTGAAGCTTTTCTTGAACGTCCCTCTTGATGTCATTTAGTCGCCTGCGGTAGCATTGAGTGGGAAGGATGGGCATGGGCTGTTCAGAGCTCATGGTGATGACCCGATGTAAAGTGCTTGAAATGATCAAGGACTGTGCGATCAGACCATTTGATTGTTCCGAAGCGTGAAGTTCTTGCGGTCAGATGCCGGGTCCATTGCAGGAAACATTCTTCCCACTGATCCACTTCGGTCTGGCCATGCGCCCCACGAAGAGAAGCCTCCAGACTATCAGAGCCTTTCAGCCTCCGATGTAGGAGCTGTAGGAGCTGCTCTCGAGCTCTTCTCTTCAGCCTGAAAGGAGTGTCCAGGAGTTCTAGTGGGTCAGATACAGTAGAATAACAGCTTCGCTAACCCATTACAGAATTGCTGCCGGATCTGGGTTCATGATCATTCTCAGTTGAACCTACGTCAGTGACATGTGTGACAACATGTGTAAACAGGTGCTAACAGTTTCGCTGAGCTTACTTGCTGAAACCGATCATGGGCTAATAGACTGACGTACAGTTCTCAGCGAGCTAGAATATAGGCTTTTACAGTCCCAATTCAAACAACTTCCCAAAATGATGGCTGAATGATTTTTTCCATTGGGAGTCAAACTTTTGACTTCGGATTGTGTGATATAGGAGATAGTCCTTTAGTTCAAACTACGACCTACTTTTAAGAAGAAAAGTTAAAGTGAAGTAAGACACTCACATATACCTGTTACAATATTGCCCTTGATCCAGGGTCCAATATAGGAGATAGTCCTTTAGTTCAAACTACGACCTACTTTTCAGAAGAAAAGATAAAGTGAAGTACGACACTCAAGATACCTGTTGCAATATTGCCCTTGATCCAGGGTCCAATATAAAGTCATCTCTTGTTTTAAAATTTTTGAGTTCTTTATCTTTGAAAATTTATTCTTTAGCCTAGATAGTGATACTCTGTGCCCAAGCAGTGTCCTAGCACTACCAAGGTAGTACAGTAGTTACGAGAGGTGTTTATAAATTTTAAAAGTAATTGACAAATGATGATTGTTTTTTGGACTACTGGAGGCGAGCTTTAGTGAGGAATTACTTTCCATTCATTTGCAGTTTCTAGGGAACAAAGCTCTTTATATGTGTAACTGGACTGTCGATCTCATCTCCAAAGTTAAAAACATGAACGTGAGCAAGGAGGATAGCTATAAAAGTTCAGGTCCTATAGGAATTGCCCATTGATTATCTTCGGTCTTTTATCATTTACCATTTACTTTATTTACGCTTTGAAATTATTTCACGTTTCACATGTATGAAGAATTAATTGTCTCATAAAATAGTGTATTTTCCTACTAAAGATTATTTCTAGGTGGAGCATTCATCACTTCATTGTAAGTGATGTTAAGTCTATCACAATAAGATAACATTTATGACAAACATTGATCTAAAGATGTAAGAATAAATTTTTGTCATGAATGATATTATCATTATTTTCAAATCCACAAAAAGATTTTTCAAATTTTCAAAGCGATCTTATATATGTTTGTCTCATGGTTTTCAGTTTGAAGCTTATCAATTACTTAGATATAGATATAATTTGACAATTCATTTCGTTAAAGTAAGTCAAAGTGAGTTCAGGGTTTAGTTTTTTTAAAAGAGAATGAAAATGTGAGTATGATTAACTTGGCACCAACAATCTTCATGATTTCCATCTTGTCAATTTTTATTTTTTCTAGTTTGTTGAAAATGTAAACAAAATTTGATAGATAATTATGCTTTGTATCAAATGCAAAATATAATCAGTTAGAATTATCACGCAATCAATTAAAAATTGATTCAAAACATAACTTTTTTCCATCTTTGACTTTGTTTCATGGTATAGAAGTCATAAAGTATGTAAGATTCAACGAAGCTAACTGCTACCATTGTAAAAAATAATCATATCTTTCATAATCGTGCTAGAAGATCTCTCATGTAGCTCAATGGAACAACTTTGGTTCCCGTTTAAAATCAAATTCATTCTTCACTTCATTGCTTTACGATAGACGGGTAAAAAAAGCCCAACATATCAACTTGAAATCTTAATACTTAACCCAACACCATTTGCATGGCCCTTGCACCTTAAACACCACAGTTGCTGCAATGTTCTGAACAAATTGTTGCAACCTCAAATGAGAAAATTAACCTAAACTAACTTCAATTCAGATTGTAGTAACTGCATGCACGCAAGTGACAATTTATGCCAATCTCATCATAGGATTTGATCCTTGCAATGAATACAACAACGCATGCTAAATGTTTGACTCAATTTTATACATTTTTTCAATGTTTGATTTCTCAATTGTTGTTTTAAATCATATATTTTGCTCGCTTAGCATTTTTTTTATGCGTTAGTTAGTTGCGTCGACTTGAATACAATGTTGTTTTTTTGAATTAAATGTATGGTAGTGAGCTGATTTCTTTAACATAGGTATAGATAATTTATTTTCGCCTTTTGTTTTCAAATTAAGAAGAATAGATTAATAATTAGCTTAATTAGAAGAGAATTCTATGGAAATACCAGAGTAATTCATAGTTAACTAACTGTGAATTATGCGAGTGATTTTTGAAAGTTGCGACATCTTTGAAGAATTTTCCAAAGATGACATGAGGCAATGTAAATTGGAGATCGCGTAACATATGCATGCCATTTAGTTCAAGCTATAAACCCCGATATCTCTAAACTTAAATGCAAAATTCCGCAACTAAGATGTTTGGAAACATTCTGTTGTACCTAATTTTCTTAGACCTATTTTTCTTTATGGACATTTAGGAGAAGAATCATTAGGATTTAAATTTTATTATGCAGTTGGGAAGAGTTTGAACAGATCTTGTATACGAATGGGATAAAACAAAAACCCAAGAATCGAAAACAACCTATTTCAATGCCCAAATTTACATTTCACGCCTTTTGAGATTTGTGAAATGCATGAGCAGGATGAGTACATGTAAGCAGGAGTAACAATGCATCTTGTAATGAGCAATCTCAAACCATCTCTGATTAAATTGAGCTACTTTACCCTAGAAAGACATCTCAATAGTGTGTGGGATGTTGAGGTAATATCTAATGCAAACGTGTTGTTTCAATCCCTTTGTCTTATTTAACTTGAAAAGCTTTGTCAACAGACCATATAAAAATCCGCAGAAATGCAAGGGATCTGTTTTACACTCCAGGAAAGTAAACATGAAACTAAAAAGTCCTCCAACAAATTATATAGCATGAATTTTAGGATACTTCAAAACATATTAAACAGTAGTTTTGACAGAGAAAGTTAAACAGAGCTTCAACTTTGGACCGTTGCATCAATAGGATTTGGAAGACACAGTGTAGCAGCCTCAAGTTAGTCCTTTCCTTCTCTTCTAGGATAACTGCAGAAAGTCTATACCGTGAAGACCGGAGACATGAAGACAATTGATGATACACGAGGAGACGGGCACAAGTCAGTTTCAATGGGAGACGAGGAATCGTTGTTTAGCTGTCATTCGGCATCCAAAACGATCTTGATTTGTTCAATATGTTTAGTTTAGTCAACGGGTTGCATCTGCATCTTACTCTTCATGAGCTCACCCTTTGACAAATCTCACCAAATTTGCGAAGTAATTCCCTAGGAGACCTTAAATATATAAGGAGATAAAAAAATTCCATCTGGTGACAAAACGAAAGAAGAACAAAGAAAGCGCGCGGGGAGAGCATTCATGACTTTCAGAGAGGAGGAGAAAAAGTAGATAATATTAAAATTCACTGAATTTACCACTGTACTTCGATGATATCCCAAGTATTATGCGTGTTTCGTCAAAACATCGCACTTTATGCAATGGTTCTCTAACGAAAGTGTATTATACTGCGAGGCTAGACCACTGTGCCCTTCGTGGAAAAGTGAAAATCGGAAATACAGCTTTTCCACGATCTTCAATGTCAACTTCATTTTAAACATTTCAAAACTCAATCCGACTAGAATGTAGTACACCTTGTACGGAAGTGATCTCACCAAATTTTAAGCATAGTTTTAGCGGCTAGAAAGGAGGAAAGAATGGTTGTGACTAAGAAATTTGATCGTTGGAAAGTTTTGCCTGATTTTGAATTGCATTAGCTTCCCGTACAAAGCAGAAAAACATTTGCAATCCTTTCTCTTATCTGTCTTGTCTGGCAGTCAACAAGGTAAAACTGCAAAATTTAATCTTGTCCGTAAAGATAATCTGAGTGAGATATAACAAGTCTGTACATCACCGAGTGAATTTCAGAAAAATGAACTTACTGGGTCGAAGGGTTAAACCCTTTGTACATTGGGGCTCAGACAAGGGACTTGAGTCCTTTCTCAGAATCACCAACTAATTAACTGTATGCATGAAATTTACGAATTATTGTGTCGAAAAGAGGTGCATCGTCACATTCTTTGCAGTTTCGCTCGAGCATCTCGTATACTTTTACCGGATTTGAAGAGCTGTGTACACCAAGGTTCTGAACCCGTAGGTATTCCGACTTGGGCGACTGCTCCATTCACATGGGGACTTCGATGTAACTCTACATTGCTATCAAATACTGGTTTAGATTTCGGGATCGGAGGCAGTACTACGGTGCCCGCCAAGATCCCCAGAACTTCGCTCATGACAGGACGGTCATCAGCTACCGGATGTGAACACAAGAGACCCAAAAGAAGAATGCCCTCCACTTCGTCCATATCACATGTGTCCACCAGTCTCGGGTCCACAACACTGAGAAGCTTATCTTCGCTCAGCTTCTCCCAAACCCAATCCAGGAGCACGATCTCATCAGTGGGACAGCCCAAGTCGTAAATCTTCCTGCCGCACACGATCTCCAAAGCCACAGCTCCGTAGGCGAACACATCCGTCTTGACTGTGTACTTGCCTGTTAGCAATGCTTCCGGGGCAATGTAGCCGTGCGTTCCAGCCACAGACGTGGTGGGGGGATCCTTCGAGTGGCGCGATGCTCGAGCGAGCCCGAAGTCTCCCAGCACTGCCTGGAAGTCGTCGTCAAGCATGATATTGCTGGTCTTCACGTCCCGATGGATCACTTGATGTCGCCAACCCTCGTGCATATAGTGGAGAGCAGCCGCCAGTCCTTCCAGAATTTTGAACCTGCCCTCCCATGACAGCACCACGTCCGATACTTGCGAGTACAGGTAATTGTCGAGACTGCCTTTGGGCATGAGCTCGTACACCAGCAGGTATTTGGATGACTCGGGCCCATCCGAGCACCATCCCCGTAGCTGGACAATGTTCCGGTGCCGGAGCTGGCTGACGGTGTAAACCTCAGCCAGAAACTGCCTGGACCCCTGCGGCGACGTGTTGTCCATCCTCTTCACAGCAACATCCCGATCCGTGCCCGGAATCCGGCCACGGTACACACTCCCGAACCCCCCCGTCCCGAGCTTCAAATCGTCGTCGAAATTGTTCGTTGCAGCGCTCAGATCCTTGTACTTGAACACTTGGATCCTCGTATCCGTGGCCGTGAACGACAGTCCTGTAATAATAGACTCCAGGTCCCGATCGACTGCGTCACTACCGCCTCCCCGTTTGCTGCTGTTGTACGACATGTTTCTCCTTTTTCGGAGCCAGTAGCTCCGACTCACGACATAAGCACCGAGCACTGCGGCTGCGACCCCTACTGAAACTCCTGCGATAGCCTTCTCGTAGAGTTTTGAGCCCTCCGAGCTATAAACCCACTGCATTGCATCAATATTGTCATCATGCATGCCTTCTGCCTCGATGGGAAATGAGCTTTTTACAGTCAGATCATACGCCGCGCTGTAGCTGTAAGAAGTGGAATTCCCATTCGCCGCTGAAAACCCCACCCAAACTTGCTCTTTATGGAACACCGTTCTCAGGTCCGTGCTGTACGAAAGCTTAGGTTTTGCGGGCTTCTCACTCGTCTGGCTTATTCTCATTTCCAATGTCGAAGTGGTAGAGTCGTAATCCACCCACGCGTACAACCTCCCACTCTCTACGAGGCGGAAGCTCCAAACATAATCCGCCTTCTTCGAGTTGATCGAGTTGATGTCTATACCGACGTGGTTATTGTCCGCATCAGCTTCGAAATCCGAGTCTAGATTGTTCTGGTAGGTGTCAAATTCCACAGCCAAAACATTTATGCCCATCTCGAGTTGGTTCTTGCTGAAAGCACCGAGAGTACGTCCCGGAGCTCCCACGAAGTCCGATTGTGAACACATTACAAAAGCCATGCCATCGCCTGGTATGGTGGTGACCGCATTCATACTGATGCTGAAAGAGATATTGAAAGAAGCAGAATGGCTGCTTGTTGTATTCAGCAGCTGTATAGGCTCTTTGTAAAGAGCCATGCCGACCGTCGCCTCAAAAATATTAGAATTGATCTGTTTGTAAGGCTCACGGGGTGTGAGCAGCAATACTCCCTCTGCGGTAGTCGAGGCGTCCCTGCTGCACAACATATTCCCTGTTGATCCACATGAGAAGCTGCCCTCTTGGACGCTGAACGACGAAGTGACGGCGTGAACGACAAATTGCGTTGCTCCGGATGCGATCCACAGAGCGAACAGCAGACCAACACCCTCTCTGCCCATGATGAATAAGATGGCAGGACTCAGATCAAGATTCTCGTGAAGCCACGCAGCTCTATATCACTACCACCCCTCCCCGTCGATCATGTTGTCCCTCCGAAGGTATTCCCCACACGACATGAGCGATCTTCGACCCGAATAAAACCGAGCTGGCTACCTCCTCGTTCAGTTCTTCAGACGTGATTGTGGTGGAATCTTTTGGCTGCCTACCGCTATCTCTCTCATAGCACCTCGAGGTGGACATCAGGTGCATGTCCAGAACTTCAACTCCCAGTAATGCAGTTAAGAGTAGACTCGAAATCAACGATCGCTGCTTGCACCAACAGCGATGGTCCAACGTGTAGATGGCTGCCCCGCGAGGTTTGTTCCTGACTTGCTTACATGGCCCATCATCCCCAGCTTCTGGTTCTGGTCCGCAACACCCTTGGCACACATATCGACTCAATGCGACTTTTCGAGCCTTCACTCAAGGATTTGGCATGCGGCATCACGAAGCTGTGATCTCTTCAGTTCCTTAGCCCTATGTACCAAAGATGCGCTCTTGCCCGGAGCCCGGACTGAGGTGTGTTAGCAACATCGTTGATTGCTCATGTCCTGACTGGGAGGAGTACAATACAGTTGACCAGTTAGTCAAGAGGCCAACAGCAGCTTGGTGGTAGGCCCCTCACCATCCTTTGATCACAGAGTACTGGCTTCTGAAAAAACCGCGGAAATATTGTGGTATCCAGCGATCCCAGCCTGAACTTGTTGACTGATCAGAGCAAATACATATCTGATTATCAGGAAGCGTGATGCGAAAGGTGCATTGTAGCTTTGAACGTGCCTGAGGCAGGAAACTGTGTATGTTTTTATCCGAACACATTCGTCTGTAGGTGATTGGGAAATGGAATCTAAGATCCTCAGTCCAGCTCTTAAAGTTGCAGCATGCATAAAATTTTCATTGAAGCAGACTTCATCACCTCGAGGCCACGAAGCGATGGTCCACGGGGTGGGGAGCTGCTCGCTTCCCTCCCCAGAGCTCGATTCGTGGTCTCGAAGATTTCTCAACGGCGTCCAGAGGACTACACTCCGAATGATGTTGCCAATCCGAGCGAGATTAGAGCATCTTTAGCGCCTGCTTTACCCAGAACATGTCGATGCCGGCTGCAATAGATCTGCAATGAGTGATTCAATTCCATTCGGGGGCGAGCTTTTGAAAAGGTGTTCGTACGTATGTAAGTAGACAAGAATATGCATGCTTGAAAAGAGTGATATGGTCCCTGGGAAGATTCTCGATCGATGGAGGAAAGTTATCTGTTGGTAATTGCGGTCGCTTTGTGTCGAACATAAGTAGGGAGTTCTTGAGATCCACGGAGAGAACTGGATCGAAGAGCATGTCAGAGTCTGTCATATAACCGGCGCTGGTAGAAGTTTTCATTTATTCGGATGAACGTACTTATTTAGAGACAAGCATGAATCATTCGATGCGCGTGTGGGGGCTTGTTGTGAGCAGATTCAAAGGTGCAGTTCTTGCTAAGGTCGGACGAGGAGGTCCAACGATCTCCACTATCGCCTTGCAGTCTACTTACTCACAAAAAAAAGTCCTTTGTTCGTAGGGAGTGGCAGCCTTTTTTAAAAGGCAGCCATCACCACGAGATTCGAGTCACCCCAATTCGACTACATAAGATAATCAATCCTGGAAGATGAGGAGTTATTTTCAGATGCCACGGAATTGAATCTCGCTCACATGGACATAAATTCTGTACACTGCACAGCCCTCACCCTCGGATGGTGGGTCTAGTTTGTTCCACGCGCCAGGAGTTCCAATGTCAACAACGAACTCCTCCTAAAGCAGAGTAGTTTATTAGGCAATATTCAATTCGTCGAACGTAAGTTGGTACTCTGTCTTATCGAGACAGAGGACCCACTCATCGCAGGAGTTTCCCTCTGAGTACATAGGCTCGATCCATCGATTGGTCGATCGCTCCATCGTCTTGGGGGGTCAGTTCACCTCACCAGCAGTCGGATCCATAGAAATTTCGTTTAATAGCGTCCAGCTTCCCGCTGCTGAAGGGGCTGTGCCAACTGAGAGGGGCGATTCAAACGCGACCGTCACGTCGTCGGCGTCAGTAACTGGAAGAGTTCCGCTCCAGCGTCGCGAAAAGACGATGAGCAGCACTACGACGGAAATCTCGTCGGAGGGTATGGGCGTTCCAGTGGAGGCCTCCAACGCTGTGACAGTGTCTGATCGTGAACATGGCAGCATACTTCTGGCTCCACGGGCGTCCACAAGCTTCAAATCGGCATTGGTACCTTGCCGGCTTCCCACACTGGGGGAAGTGCTGAAGAAGGTCAGAAACGTAGGGAGTTCATTCGATATGTCGGGATCCAAGTCAAACAGTAGTTCATTCGATATGTCAGTATCGGGAGTCGCGATGGCAGGCCCGGGGGACAAAGTTGTTGACGTCTTGGACGAAAGTGAGAGCATGAACCAATCAGATATCAGGAAGCACCCGTCGATCGTGCTGCAGTTTCATAGTCTCACGTACACGGTGAAGCAGAAGAACTCAAGGTCAGCAGTTCCGGGCATGTGCCAGAATTCAGCTATGGTGAATCCGACTCAGTCTCCGCCACCAAGCACTAGCTCTCGAGTCCCCCTCTTGGACCAGATTTCCGGAGAAGCCAGGGATGGTGAGATCTTGGCCATCATGGGTCCCAGCGGTTCGGGCAAGTCTACTCTGATCGATGCTCTAGCTCAGCGAATAGTTCCCGAGAGCTTGGCGGGCACCATTACTCTGAACGGAGAGCAGGTTGCTGAATCTCCTCTCAACCCACATGTCCATTGTGCATAAACAACGTGATCATGTGGTTCATTTAGCTCTCTTGAGCACGTGATCATAGACGCACTCATTCTGTATATAGATTAATATAAATATTTACATAAGTGATTCGAGTAAAAACATCAGAAAGCATCTGATTTGATCTGACACCAATAAATTTCATCATATGACTGCACATTCTAAGTCTTTCACAGGCCCCAACAATGTCTGTACTTTGTTAAGTGTCCTGTAATTGTGATTCTGTGAAAGGTGTTGAGTATGTCCTATAATTTTCTCACGTCAGTTCATATATGAACTGATATGCGAAAATATATGAACTGATAACGGCGTCGTTTCGAGTAACGTGATAATCATATCTGAGCCCGAGAGTTTGTTCTTCGTTTGTGATTGTGCAGGTGTCCAATAGCCTGCTCAAGAGCATCAGTGCATACGTGATGCAGGACGATCTGCTGTTTCCGATGCTGACCGTCGAGGAGACGCTCATGTTTGCAGCGAAAGTGAGGCTGCCCAGCAGCTCTCACAGCGTAGCACGCAAGAGGGAGCGAGTGGGGCAGCTGCTGCTGCAGCTCGGTCTGCACGGAGTGGCCCACACCATCATCGGAGACGAGGACCACCGCGGCGTCTCGGGAGGGGAGAGGCGCAGAGTGTCAATCGGGATTGACATTATACACGACCCTCTGTTGCTCTTCCTGGACGAACCCACCTCGGGATTGGACTCGACCTCAGCCTTCCTCGTCATCAAAACCTTGCAAAAGATAGCTCGCGCGGGCAGCATAGTGATTCTCACGATCCACCAGCCGAGCTATAGAATCCTGGGACTCCTCGACAGGCTCATAATTCTGGCGTTCGGTCAGAAAATCTACGGGGGACCACCTTCGGAATTGAACTCGTTTTACGCCGCCTTTGGGCGGCCCGTTCCGGAGCACGAGAACAGCACAGAGCATGGTCTGGACCTGATTCAGGAGCTACAAAGCTCACCCACGGGAATCCAGCCTCTGGTCGAATTCTTGAGGGTGTGGGGGGAGGGCAACGATGGGGCGGAGTGCGGACCGAAGTCGCCGTTCGGTGGAATGGATGTTCGCGGCGCTCTAATTGCGAGCATCGCGAGAGGCAAGCTTGTGGCGACACGAGGATACAACGATGGAGATGGCGGCGGCGATGTCATGGTCGACTTGGCCACGCTGGACTCGGCCTCGTCCATGGTGGCGAAATTCGCCAATCCGATGTGGCGCGAAGTGCCTGTGTTGACGTGGAGATCGCTGATCAACTTCAGTCGGACGCCGTCGTTGTTCCTGGTGCGCGTGGGCTGCATTCTGGGCACCGGCTTCCTCATTGCCACCGTCTACTGGGGCCTCGACCACAGCCCTCTCGGTGTCCAGGAGCGCATCGGCTTCTTCGCCCTCGCCATGTCTGCCACGTACTACGCCTGCGCCGACGCCCTGCCGGTGTTTATCATGGTACGTAGTTCTCCTCTACGCAGTTCATTCTCCGTCAACTCGCTGCCATGCTGCGCTGCGCAAGTATTTGTTTATCTGGACATGAGGTTCACGGACATGTCACCCGCCGCCGCCGTACAGAACTGATGGATCATCGTTGAGAGCGTCTCAACGATGCGAGCTTCACGATGTGGAGCTGTTCAGCTGGACTTCATGTCACCGAGTCTGATCTCTCGCGTGGATCTGTATACAACGGAGACGGGCCACGCTCATTCCTAGTGCAATCCTTCCGTCGAGACTTTATTATACTGCCACAATACAAGTCTGTATCTCAAATCTCTCGTGGGTCTTTCCGCCGTTGTCGACTTTCCTGCTGAATCCTTGATGGGATGATTGAAGGGGCTAGCTTGGAAGCGAGTGTGCTGAAGTAATTTAGTTATACCCAGAGAAGAACTTTCAGTGGGAAAGTATTGTGATAGAGACGGTTTTTAGTACACTCGGCTCGATGAATTTTCTTGGACGCTACTGTTTTACAGACGAAGCGCCACATTCGATGACCGAAGCCACTCTCGTTTAGATCAGGGATCTGAGATCAGAGCACCAGAGGAAAGGGTCGCATTTGTCTTGCGGCGATCAGGTGGACGCATTTGCCTCTGGATGTCGTCCAGTGTGTCTTGAATAGAACAGCAATTTTGACTGCGCCAGGATCGTTGTCATGCTTGCAGGAGCGCAACATTTTCATGAGGGAGACTGCTCACAACGCTTATCGGAAGTCGTCGTACGTTCTGGCGCACGCTCTCATTTACATCCCGGTTCTAGGAACTATGGCTCTGGCGTTCTCAATTTCCGTATGGTGGGCTGTGGGTCTAGCCGGTGGTAGCGCAGGATTTGGGTTCTTCGTTCTGATAACGTGGGCGTCATTCTGGGCTGGTAACTCATTCGTCACCCTCCTGTCGGCGTTGATGCCCAACGTGATGATCGGCTACATGCTAGTAATGGCATGGCTGGCCTACTTTCTGCTGCTTAGTGGCTACTTCGTCACCACGGACCGCATTCCTAAGTACTGGATCTGGTTCCACTACATGTCTCCAATAAAATACCCATTCGACGCTGTACTCATCAACGAATTTGACCGTGATGGGAGCTGCTTCCAGAGGGGCTCAGAAATCCTCTTCGGCACTCCTCTCGCAGAAGTCCAGGGTGCAGGTCTAATCGACGGGATGCTTGGATACCTCCGTGGTGCCTTGGCGAATACCTCCTACGCGCAGTTGAGCCCTGAAACTTGTGTCCTCACGGGCCATGACATTCTTGTCTCCCGAGGAATCGTCCTGTTTTCGAAGTGGGTGAATTTAGGAATAACGATCAGTTTTGGGATGTTTTACCGAACTCTTTTCTACATCGTACTGAGAATGAGTGGGAAGAATAGACGCCATTAAACAAGAAGTGGCACTGCCTGTTGATAAATATATTCAACTCTGTACAGCGTATACTATTTCCTTGTATGAACCAAGAAAATCTTGGTGCTATACTCAGCTACTGAAGCCTTGAAGGCTATATTTCTCAAGACTGGCGTTCAAAAAATTGCAATTCTAACCTTGATTGAACAGGGTATTTATGTCTACGAGGCAATCGATCTTTCTCCTGTCAATGGCCCTGAGATGCTAAAATCACGTCTCTCTCTAAAGTCGATGGTGCTCCATCTTAATCTCAAATATGCCAGCTGTGCATGTGAAGTCCAGATATATCTAGATACACTGTAGAAAGCCCTCCTGAGAACATTCAGCAGCCCACTTAACCTACGGGATACCATTCTTTTAAACGCGGATGGATAAGACAATTCATGCAAACGATTGCAGAGTATCAAAGCAGAATATGCTCCAAGTTTTGAAGTATTGTTGATGCCTTTCAAGAAGAACGTTCTTGGGCTAATTTACGTAAATTACGTTCGTTCGTACTATTATTAGAAAATACACTTTCGTTTACTCTTTGTTGACCTCGAGCATTGGGAAGAAGTTTTGCATCCATTGTTTTTGGATCTAAGAGGAAAATATATGCAATATAAACCACGGAAATTCAGGGCCTTCATATGTTTTGTAAATACATTTGTCATTTGCAGTAGTGAGTTCTTGCTCCCGCTTTTACGATCAGAACTGAGATTGGATTGAGCTGAAGAGCTCAACTTCATCGATAAGAGAGAGAATCTGAAACGAAATGAATAATTGCAGTAAAAAAATCGATTGCCCTCGAAGTGGCCAGAGAGATTTCTGTATAAACCAGTATTGACAAAAATGCGAGGTCTGAAATTTGCGGTGTTGAGCTGAAATTGCACCAAGTCGTTGCCGGTCAACAATGTTGACCGGCCACAATGAATTCTGCATGTTGACATTGCACAATTCCACTTTTTTTGAGTGGAGAGGACAAGTCCTTTCCTCAAAAGTTTATGCTCTCCTAGTTCATTACCATATCACCAGTTATTGAATTGAATATTTTGTACACACTAGTACTCTTCGAGGTAAGGTGAAATAACTTTTATTCAAGGGTAAAAGTCGCAGGTAGAAATAAAGTAAAATAACTTTTACTCAATAGTAGAAAGGGTGTGTTGTAAAGTTACCACTTGCTAAGTTTGTGAGTACTAGTCTCTTCTGGCAATGTTCGGAGATCGAATGGTGATTAATATTTCATGATCACAATTAAACATTCGCCTTGGAAATGTTAATACATTTGGTTCATTGGTCATCTTTCCTACGCTTGATAATTACTCGGATAAAGTGTAAAAAGATAAAGTGCATTTTTTATTATTATTAAATATATGTAAGCATACCCAATGCGGTAAGGGTAAAGGCAGAGAACATAAACCTTGCCGATGCCTAGTACACACCTAAAACTCACGTGCGTTCATAGAAAGGGAAGGAAACATAATTGCCTGTTAATCCAGTTTTGAGGACCAGTTCTTCCCAACGAGGAAAGCATCAGCGGTCTGCTTGTGATTTGACACTTTCGTAGCAAAGTACCTTTGCCCACCAGACACACCAGCAAAATTGGAACAAATTGTACCAACGCCGGATGAGGTATCTGAAACTTGAAGGATCCCCCGAGTCCAGATCAGTTTCTGACATCAGGGTGGTCATTACCAAATGACTACTATTGAGCTATCATCAGATTCCAAGCTAAGCTTCAGGACACGGTTTCACGACCACATTCCAAGCTCAAAGTTACTGTTCGGTAATCAGTGTGGTTCTCTCTCATACGCTATCTTTCACATGCTTGTGCAAGGTAGCGATAATTGCTTCTACGTACAAATTCAGCACACGAAAATCTCATTTTACATGCCAGCTTGCGAGCATTATCCACTACTTGCGAGGGTGAAGGCCGTTGACCTTTTCAAAAAGCAGGCGCAACGCTACTGTCGCTCTTTGTATTGCCACATTCACACTCATTTCGTACTCTCCAAATATCAAGTGTGTCATCATACTATACAGACGGCAGGTAGTATATGGCTCATCAATAACTGTAAGAATAAATGTAAGATTCTTCTACTAGATGAGAAGATGTCGAGACAGTCTCGACATCTTCTCATAGACACATTAAACGATTACATCATTAATACTTTCAATGAGTCTTTTTATACTACTTTTATGAAGATGATTTTATCTTACAATACAAAAGCATCGTACGGTAAGGGATTACTTTCTTGCTTGAAAAGAAGATAATAAATAGCAAGGAGAAAAGTGTATGCGAAAGATAATGGAAAAAAAGGTAGATAACCATCAAGAGAAGATTGGCCAGGCGCTTTTAGTATTGTCATGAGATTTTCTAATATAAATATAGTATAGTCAAAAGTATAGAAAACTAAGTCAACTGCTATGTTGCATGAACTAGACTAGAGTGGCAAGGTCTATTTGCATATACATGTAAAATAAGTTACAGATAGCAAATGTTATTATAGGCTTTGCTCATTCACCAATATGTCAATTTCCACATTAAAAGCTATCAATAACAAGGATATATTGTATTACGATGATTAACTCTTGAGAAAAATTATGCTTCTAAAAAAAATAAAATATTAGCCGTGAAAGGATTATAGTAAAAGAATGAGAATAGATAGAAGGTACATCAACATCTATGAGGTTTTCAAAAGAATTTTTTATAGAAGAAATTGGTTAAAAAAATAAATTATTAATTGCATTATCATCCAATACAGATGAATATCCTATGTTTTGTTAGATAAAACACAAAATTTGATACATCGAGGAACAAAATTATTTTATAATTCAATCCTTATGAATACCCAATGACTTTTTAGATGACGCACAAAAATTGATACATACACAAACAAAATTGACAATAAAAAATTATGTGGTTTGTCATGCTCAGATAATGTCCATGAAAATGACAAGTACTGCACTCAAAAAAAAAACAAATATTTGAGTTGAGTTATGTCTTGTACCTTCATATATACTTGAGTAAGTTGAAGTCCTAGGGTTAATCCTAGTTAGAGTAGCTAGTCATAATCCTAATTTGAATCAAATTAACTTGAATTTAACTTCGATACACCATTATAATCTTCACATTAATTCATGTCGTGTGTACAATAATCTTGATAATCTATAAAATTACTCTGCAAGAAGTCTTAGAAGAAAATCTAAAAAAAGCTCATTTTTTAAACTAGAGCTAATTAGAACTAAGCTTAGCCAAAAAAAGATGAAATTAATATAGCGTAATGTCACAAGCATCACATAAACAACGACCACAGATGCGTGTTCACATGACTTGTGAAGAACAAATTGCTTTTGCTTACAAGTCCAAGTATCATGCCCAACCTAAGATCAGGTTCGAGTTGGATCGAATCCAAGTAGAGGGTTGTATCCGACTCGAAACTCAAAAATTAAACTTAGCGGGCAGAGCTGTTGAAACAAGACAATGTTTTGTGTGGTACCCCATTTTTGGTATTTTTGAGGAAATTAAAACATTTTTGAAAAACTATACCGCGGCAGCAATGTAAATAGCCTTCGGTGCATCAAAACAGAGTGAAATCGGAAGATCGCATAGATTCTCGAGAGAACTCGTAGAATCCAGGAGTGGGGTGCAACGTCTGGGACGAACACCACCCTCCATGCGGGCTCTGAAGGTATAACCCCTTCGGCGCAAGGCGCAAAATCCGCCTTTGGCGCTAGAGGAATCCTTCAGAATTTAATCAATTCCCAAACGCCTTGACTTGGTTAGGGTCTTGTTGGAAAGAGCTCGACGCGCTGATTCAAACGAGCCCAAGAACGCCACAAACGGATGAGGACTCCGGGAGTTATGAAGGTCGCAAGATACTCAGCTTTCCGCCTACGAGTAGGCGAGGAAAGTTTGTCCTATGCGCGGACGAAGGCAGTTCGCCTACGCGTAGGCGAAATAGGGTTTGACGTAGGCGCGATATCCGCCGCGAATGTCGCCTACGTGTAGGCGAGGAAACCTCTGCCCAGGCGGACGAGCGAAGTCCGCCTACGCACAGGCGCTTCGGCGTCGGCGGAAAATCCGCATTCGGCCCTAGAAATGCGCCTTCGGGGTTAGAAATTATACGGCGCCTTCCGCGCCAGCGCAACAGCGCGGACGGGCGAGGAACCACCGGAGTAGTAAAATCCGTACGGACCGTACGGACTGTACGGACGGAACGGATGGATGCGCCTTCGGTCGGACGGAGTTGCGGCGGCGAGAGCGCCGACGGAGAGGCAAGAAATGGACAGACTGGACGGAGCCTGTTGACCGCGGTCAACGCCTTCCGCGCCAGCGCAGCAGCGCGGACGGAATTCGCCTACGCGCAGGCGAGCGCCTACGCACAGGCAGGTGAAGTTCCGCGCCGGCGGAGATTCCGCCAGGGATTCCGCCTACGCAGAAGGGAGTTCAACTTTTGTCCGATGCGCGGACGATCGCCTTCGGCGGAGGGGGATTGGCCGAGGAGCGGTACGAACGAGTGTAGCGCGCAAGGCGGAAAATCCGCCTTCGGCGCTGCGCACCCATGTCCGCGGCGTAGTACGCTAGCGGAGTTCAAATTTGCCAATTCGAGCGTGTGAGTTAAATCGGCGTCGGCGGAGCGTGAAGCCGCGCGTGAGAGTGGAGACCGTTTTAGCGTAGAGCCGGCGCGGTCATCAAGTGATTCGACCCTCACGACCAAGAGCCGACCATGACCTTCGACCGGGAGACGGAGGACGCCCCATTCTTGAATTCGCGATTTCATTGTCTAGTGCGAGCTGCGCGAGCCCACCTGCTAGCTGCTAAACATCCCAGACATCGCCGCGCGGAGGATTACTTGTTGATTGAGAGAGAATTGAGTGCGCGCGATTTGGAATTGAGTGAGATTAGAGCTTGCAGAGGGAGCAAGGAGCTCGAGCGGAGCAGAGAGAGAACTAGCGAGCAAGCTAATTTCAAGAACGCAATGTCGAAGCTGAACAGATTGCGGATGCTGCCGCTCTGGCTTCCACAGAACGGGTTGCGTGCCTACGAGGAACGGCTGATCGCAAGAAAGCTCGATTTCTTGCTATGGGGATGGAATTACATTTGTGTGGACATGGTGCGCGAATGGCTGGAACCACAGCGACCACCTACGCGCGGATTGCGTCCGCATGTCGATCGGTGGACCGTCCAAGATTGGGCGCAGGCATTGGGAAGGTGTGCCGGCATCGAAGGGTACCTTCTCTTTGATAGTGAGAGCGTCAAGGTGTCGAAGCAAGACGAGGCGCAATTTGTGGAATTGTTCAAGCGGGAGAGGTCTACCAAGAATGGGTACAAGACCCGCGACTACAAAGATCGCTTCCGCCGAACTTTAGCAGCGGCGCTGCTGCAATTGCTGCAGCCACACCGC